GATGTGAGTTAGATAGAATAGATTGAGCCCATTTTTCACATAAGTCCATGTGCCTGTCGACCAGACTATTAACATGCTGGTTAAGTGGCACGTTGCTTACCGTGCAGACAACCTTAAACATCCTGCGTAATAAGGTATAGTCTTTCTTCAGTAGCCCAGGAAAAACTAAGGGGGAACAATAGAGAATAATATGCAGAATACGAGAATTAATGAATTGTAGGAGTAAGGCCTGGGTTATACTATTATGTCGTAACTTCTTGACGTAGAAGGTAGGAGAGTGGAAATAATTAGGTAATGATTCGGTAATCCAAATTAAAACACAGTGATTAGAATTCATAGGATCGGAAAACTAAAATTTCATGTTTACAAAGTGGAATGAGAAGGGGAGTAAAAATCAAGAGACCAAAGATTAAATTTAAATGTGAAAGTCAAGCAAAAAGTGGGTTGTGACTGAAGTAAAAAGATTAACTGAGAGGACAAAGAGTTACTAACGCGAGGATAGCCAGATTAATTGAAGTTTTAAAATGGATTCTTTCCAAACAAATTGGTCAGGTTTTAGGCATTACATATATATTGTGATAGATTAAGCGAATCGAAAAAGAATTACACCGGGTTTTATCTGTACTTTTTGATGAAATTTTGTGGATAGCGCTATTTTTCTCAGTTATTTTTCAAGTAACGTAAGTTCAAAATACAATTTTTCTGATACACATTGTTGAACAACTCAAAAAAATACGATATATATGTATATATATGTATGCGTCGGTGGCACAGTGGTTAGTACTCTCGCCGACCATGCACATGGTCCGAGGTTTGATCCCCTGCCGACGCACACCTGATGTGTATGGTCGGCCTGCAAAATTTGGGCTACCAGTGTCCATGCTGAAAATTCCATACTGTACCAAAAATACAGTGTGGAATCAAGCTGTAATCAAAAATAAAAAAATAAATCATTGGATACAATGAATGCGTCGTCTAAATGGTAGGCTATTATTTCATCACTTTTAAATGAAAGAACTGTTTATTCAGGGATATCAATTGCTCATAATCATATCAAAATGTGTATAGCCTTTATACGACCTTACTCTTTGCTGTTTTTTTATTAGAGTTTTGTATAAATCTAGAATAGGTTTGGTGCACAGATATGTTCACTACGGAATCCCTGTTCATCGAATCAACACCAAACAAATGCCCCTGAAATGACTCAACACCTTTACAAGATGTGTGTATGGAAAATGAATTAAAAAACAGCAGGGAGTAAGACTATGTATAAAACCAGTCAGATAGTTATGTGAATACACTGATGTGATTATGGACAGATAAAAATTGTACCAGCAACATCACCCAGTCATTAACACTGTCCAACTCACTGTGTACTTTATTATTATTGTTCCCTTGCGTTCTGAGTGGATCATAGGGCTTCAACAACACATCCCCATTTTGTTCTGTTTTCTGCCGTCCTCTACAGCTGGCTCCACAACTGACCCAACTCTCTCATCTCTTTCTCACACGATCTCTTCCATGTCACCTTCACACCGACGACCCAATCGTTGCTTCCCATTTAGACTCCACTTGAGCTATGGCCTGGCAGGCGATGTATTTCGGCGACCGCGTGAGGCTGATTAACTGAAATGTGCACTGGAATAGCATTCACATCAGGCATTCGTGCTTGCTAGCAGTATCGAAGTGATTTAAACAACAGTCGGTTGTCTCTCTTGTTTACGGCCAAGATTATCAGCGGTGTTCACGGTTTTGATTCACTCCATAAAGACAGATCTGTTCAAACCACCTGAATTCTAGCTAGCTTCTTTAGCAAACCAGTACTACCATGAAGTGAAATCGCGATTTATAAATGAATTCACCACTGGTTGATGTGAGCGATATTCAGCTGGTGAAATTATTCACCCAGTAGTTTATAGAGCCATGCATTGATGCTTTCTGTCCCAACTGCTATTTATAGTATCAGGTAGATCACATATTTTGTGTGATTTGAATAAATTTGCTTTCGTAAAGGAAAGTGTGGTTAAATTTTATCGATTCGCAGTATTTTTTCAACTACAGGTGGCAACAAAGGTAGGATCGGAGAGGCGAAATAGATCTACATTAATCTGAAATCACTGTGGAAATCCTCTGAACTCAGCATAATAAACAACATCGGGATCTTCAACACTAATGTCATGTCAGTGCTTCTGTATATTTCAGAGACAAGGCGTGCACACCATGATAGACACTTCCAACAGGTAATTGAAGACTTTTATCAACAGCTGCCTTCGTAATGAAGGACAGAAAAGATTAGCACCAAGGAAGTCTGAGAAAAAACTAATCAACAAAATAGAGATGGATTAGATATAAGCTATGGAACGCAGTGAGTGACATTACGCGAAAAGCTTACCGCTATGTAGAACCCAACTGGGAAGAGCTGCAGCAGATTCTGTGGGTATCACGGATGCAGTTGTGTGAGGAGAAAATGAAAATTTATGGTCAACTGTGGAGCCAAGTGAAGGAGAGTGAAGAAGACAAAGCGAAAAGGAGATTTGTTACTGAAGCTCTGTGCTGCATGTGAACTCCAGAATAATAAAAATAATAACAACTTAAATTAAATTTTCTGTTTTACAAACAACTGTGAAGCGGTCGATTCTCATGACAGTTGTAAGATTGACGACAATGATGTAGGAATTAAATCTAAAATCAAGTATCTTGGACTTATTCTCTTTCTTCTGATCTCTCCTGGTCTTCTCATGTCTCAGCGATCATCAGTAAAATATTTTGCCTGGCATTTTACATTAAGAAGTTAAGGCACTCGGGTACAACTCAACCTCCCTCTCACAGTTCATAAACTCTTGCACCCTACCTATTCTTCTTCATTGTTCACCCTTATTCTTTCCTGGTTTGCTTAAAAAGGACTATGTCACATTTCGTAGAATGCTGAAGAATGTCAGTAGGGTGTGTGGTGTCCCAGTGGACTACATAGTTACCGTCGTTGTCGATAGGCACTTGACTTCGTGCAATAAATTTGCTAAAGGGATTTTGTCTGACTTGGAGTATCCACTTGACCCTCAGCTTTCACCTTGCATCTCCTCAGGTAGAACAAGAAGTAACTTCAGAAAACTGTATGCTCGCACGTCTAAGTATAGAAATTCTATGATACCGTACTTGACAGAGTATTTTATGTGATGAAAATAGTGTCAGGCAAGAATTAACTAACCTTTTTTCATCTAGTAAATAAACAATTTCCTCCATCCATCCATCCTTATATACCTTCAAGTTTTACTTTTATTATTTCTATTATATTTCTGGTCCTGTTGCTTCTTTGTTTTACTCTCATAACTGCAAACACCAACTTATCTCTATGACTGCTGTAATCTCTGTTTTTCCCTCACCATATCATGTAAAGACAACGTTATATTCAATATTTTTAAACATGTTAGGATTTCTACACCGCATCGACAATACTGTGTGAAACAAGCCCATGGAAATTTTCACTTGTATTATTGTTACTGTTATTATTACCTCAGCTGTTATCATTATTTCCATTTTATATGCTACATGTTTTTGACATTTCCCCTATTGTAAATGTGGAAAATTTTCTGTGTGATTAATTTTTATCTATAATTTGAGGAAATTAGATGCAATATTGTGATTAATGCTGAAAATTCCATTCTGTATCACAAGTACTGTTTTTGAAATAAAGCAAATCATTATATATACATATATATGCATATATATATATATCGCGGACTAGTAGTGGCTTCATAGTCTACGAGCTCGACATGTAACTGGAAGTTCCTGGTTTAGAACTTCAGTTAGTGTGTGCTGCTGATTTGTTCTAAAGAAGGAGGACGAAACAGTGATCCAGTACTCTCAGGTTTACAGACGATTCCCAACTCAAGTCAACATGTGACGAAATGTGTATCGAATCATATCCCTGGAAAGTAACATTTGCTTACTGGAAAAATAACTCAATCTACGGATTAATAAAAATCCTTAAAGCTTACTGAGAAGGTTTGAAATGTACAGATTCTGATCATAGACTCAGTTGTCATTCACTTAAGGTTAGGTCTAGAATAATTTTACTCCACAAGTGAGGTTATCTTTATTAATTAGCAATAATTAAGCATCACATTTCAAATGGCTCAATTAATAGCATATTTTAACTATTTGAAGCCACAGAAAATTCTAGAATAAAGTGAAACGTTTACAAATAATACAGTTCATAATAGTGTTCAAAGAAGCCGCCATATTGGCCAACTATTTAAACATTTTATGTCCATTTGAACATTAAACAGATATGTTTTAATTGAGCGTGAACAAATATAACTGTTTAATCGTAAACAAATTTGTGTAAATTCTGGTTGATTTATTATTTTTTTTAATATTTTTGATTCACAGCTTGATTCCACACTGTATTTTTGGTACAAGTATGGAATTTTCAGCATGGATACTGGTAGCCCGAATTTTGCAGGCCGACCATACATATCAGGTGTGCGTCGGCAGGGGATCGAACCTCGGACCATGTGCATGGTCGGCGAGAGTACTAACCACTGTGCCACCGATTATCAGTGATGTTTTATTTTCGACAAAAAATACCTACAAGTGAGAATTTGGTAGTTTAAAAATTAAAATTTTTCCACAGTTTATTATTGTGGTAAAAATTTACAAAAGTAGTATACTAAATAAAAGGGGAATATTATTATATGTAGGAAACAGAAATTATCCAATCAGATAACAGGAAAATTAGTTTAACAAATTACGTTATTCTGATAGGCTATTTCTTTTAGTATTGGGAGTGAGGACGTGATTCTAAGGAAATCAAGTCGACGCAATGATTAAATCGACATTAAAAGAAAAAAAACGAAACAATAATAATTAATTTGCCTCTAGGAAAATATTGTCTTCACAATCTCATTTTTGTAGTAGCCATTTTCCTAGAACAATTTCAATGGATCTGAATAGTCCTTTGATGTTATACATGGACAAATCCATATGTTAGAACTTCGGAAATGATGATGATGAAATTGACATTTTTTACTCATAGAAGTGCTTTATTTATGGATATTGTTATATTTACTATTGTGATCTCTAATTTACTCATCCAAATATTTGGAGATTTTAAGGTTCATACTGCTGTTCAAACTAAACACTCACCAAATCAAGAATGGATTGAACGTGGTTCCTCTAGTCGTCATTCTTCTCTCACAAAAACCACCTCAGTGGGAAACAGTGGGTAAATAGTACTACTATTACTACAAACAGTAGTATCAGTAGTGTCAATAATTACCATAATAATCCTGACAGAATATTATCATTGAATTTAAATTCGGAATATACTAAGAATTCTATACGACGCAAAGAATTACACGATCAACCACAGTTGCCACAAACCTACTGGAATTATTCACCGTATAAAAAGCCGTCAATTGATAGAAATTATCAACATGATTTATCATATCCACAGTCAGCAACAAGCCTATATTATAATCTACCATCTTGGTATAGTTTACGATATAGACGATATCCACGTGAAGAACCTTTGTCTATTTACAATGATAATACACAACTGCCGTGGAATTATAAGCCCAAATGTAGATCATGTGGTCGACCATTGTTACAAGATTCGTTTTGTGCAGATGATTTTGGTAAGTCGCATATGTCCAGACCAAGTTCACTTTTAACAGTTTGAAAAATTTGGGCATTGGGTATATGAATTTTATTATAATAAAGGGTTTTTGTATTTCCCAACGAATGAAAAACAAAACGATATTGCTATTTTTACTGACGACTCGCTATTTAATGCTGCTAATAGCGTTATCAAAGTAGTATTATTAAACTAGGATTTACGAAATCTCAGCACATATATAACAATGAGTTAAGAGGTGAGAAAATAGACTTAGGTCAAGTTAAAAGGATATATTGAAAGTCGAAATACAAATGAAGATCACTAAACCAAATAACAAAGGTAAGAGCACATCTGTTATGGTATCAAAACAAAGTTTACTAACTTGATCATTATTGCTCGTCAGTATGGGGTCTTTTTCGTTGTCAACTTGACCAATTTCTAAAGATAACAAAATCAGGTGTGAATTGTTTGACTTGATAATTTTATAGAATTATAACAGCAGCGTGTGTTTACATAATGAAATTGCTTATCAAATTCGTGTTGATTTTGTCATTTCATGGGGGAGGTGATGTTGTAACCAGGTCAAAGTTTGTTTTAGTCCAACTGTCCTAGTCAGACAATTTGGATTTCACTTGATATGAAGTGCTTCTGATGATATGAGACGTTCTTTGTGATTTCTGAAATGCTTTTTCTGGAATATTTCAAAATTGTCAAAATCAATTTTGTGACCTGATTCTATAGCGTGTTGACCACCACCTATGGTTGATGATTTTTCAAGCTTTTCTAGTTCAACTGGATTTCTCGGTGGTCGAACAGAGTAGGCTCTACGGTGTTCATTTCTTCTGATTTTGATTTCTCTCTGACGATGTTTGTCCGGTGTATATCGCATCATATTCCAAGCAAGCATTTTATTTTATAGACACAATTAGATAGAGAATCTTTAGGGATTTGATCTTTTATATGGACAAGTTTGTTTCGTAGTGTGTCTGATGTTTTGAAGAAAACTTTAATGCCGAGCTTATTGAGTACTCTTCTGACATTGTCTGACGCCTCTGCCTTATGCAGAATGACAACCGTTGAGTTCCATGTTTTCGGAATGCGTTTTCGACCATACTTAATGTCAGTGTTAATTTTTTTGATGAGGTTCTTTGAGTAGTTGTTTTGCTTGCGTTTTTCAGTAATGCTTCGTATTTCTTCTTCGTTTTCTTTCTCATCCGTAAGTCATTTTATATTGATATTGTAGCATAGTAAACTAACATTTAAAACAATTAATACTATTTATAAATTTGGATAGTGTTATTAGAAGATGGGGACAGACTTAACTCCGTACATTATTATCTACGTATTATGTGTAAGAAAGAAAGTCTCATCTAGCTTGCATTTTAGACATACATCTGAGTCGAGAGAAGATACTTCAATAAAGCGATCAGTATGTAGAAGGCCTTCTTAGACAGGGCAATATTCAAATTTTCACATCTTCTGTCGACTACAGTGTAACCGAAGTGTCGTAAAGTGCTTATTTGAAAGGATTCAGTGTATCCGTACAGCTGATGTCATGGAGGATGAGCAAAAATATACTGATGGATACTCTTGTTGAAATGCATGTCCTTTAAAATGTTTAAACTGGTGTAGATGTCAGTTGGTCTTAGGACCTACAATCTATTCTGCCCGTTAGAAATACGTCTTCATCCAATTATCATGAAATGGGGAAATTCACAGTAGGATTTTAAGACAGAGACTACACTCGGTCATCCACAGAATCTTTTATGCAGCTCGGCTTGTAATTATTAAAAACGGCAAAAGTATGCTGGACTGCAAACCTCAAACTTGCACAGGTGAATATTTCACGTACTATACCATTTGAAAATTCACGTGTTTGTGGACGCACATACAGAGGGAGGAGTAATCATGCTTCGCATGCGAGGGTGTGAGAGCATATTCTGAAATGATTAGAAAAACAGATGAACCTTTAAAAAACGTTAGACGCAGGTGTCAGACTACGAATGGCGCCTGTAGCTAAACCTCGAATCGTTATGAACCCCAAGAATGATTTCAAAACAGCGTTTAAGGTTGTCTTGATTTAAAGCTAGTAACTAGTGTGATGTGTCTAGTCCTCTCTTTGGTGCAGACTGAATTCTATCAGTCAGATTTGCAATGTGGCCACCATTCTAGGTAGCTCAGCATCACGGTGCACATTGATTGATGATATTAGTTGGTTGGAGGCAGTTGGCAGGGCCCCTTGAACCTAGGTTTCGTGCTAGTTGGCACTCGTCAGCATGGCGTATCTGCAACTCTGAAGGAACTCATGTCCCTTCACTCTAGTTACTGGTGTCAAAATATCCCCTACAGTCCTACAGGAGGTCAATCGCGAGCCCGAATAGCTCAGTGGTAACGTCTCTGACTGCAGCAGCAATGGTGACGCGGGTTCGAATCTCAGAAGGGATACGAGTTCCTTCAAGGTTACAGATACTCCTTGCTGACCGACTTGTGAGTGCCAGGTAGAACGAATCTAGGTTTAGGCAAGGCTTCCTCCCAATTGCCTCCAACCACCTAATATGATCAAGGTTTTAAGGTTATTTTTAAAAGTGGTTAAGAGTGCTTAATGAAATACACTGAGGTGTTGGCTATTTTTAAGCTTAAGCCCAACCACCTTGTGTGTACAAAACCAATTTGTAATTGCTCTTTGCCCACCTTGGTGTTCCTTTTCTGATTAGATAAACAAACGTGGTGTTAATTATCCATATTATTCTTGAATCCTCTTTTTCATTGTGATATTCAATTGGCTTTTATTTTTCATATAAATTTACTTGACAAGTAGATTTGTGTGCGGGATCAAATTGCTCAAAATGTAATGCGCAAATACATCACATAACTTCTCAGAAAATCTCCATCTTCTAATACCACCCATTCAGACCAAAATTTAATTAAAATTAGCAGAAATTGGTTACAGGATTTTATCATGAGCTGACATTGGTTGGAGAACCATTGGAAAACCTGGGAGTACTGGACAGCTAGCGGTTGCTCTATATCGTGAACTGGAAGAAGTTGGAATTCATGGGCCAGTGGATCAGGTCCATGTGGCTTAATGGTCTACCAGCTCACCTTGTAGGCAGAAGGTTCTAGGTTGGAACCCCGGCGGTGGGTGCGTAATGCTGAAGAGTCCCAAACTACGACGGGAAACAGCTGTCCAGTACTCTCAGGTTTTCCAATGGTTCTCCAACCAATGTCAGCTCATGATAAAATCCTGTAACCAATTTCTGCTAATTTTAATTAAATTTTGGTCTGAATGGGTGGTATTAGAAGATGGAGATTTTCTGAGAAGTTATGTGATGTATTTGCGCATTACATTTTGAGCAATTTGACCCCGCACACAAATCTACTTGTCAAGTAAATTTATATGAAAAATAAAAGCCAATTGAATATCACAATGAAAAAGAGGATTCAAGAATAATATGGATAATTAACACCACGTTTGTTTATCTAATCAGAAAAGGAACACCAAGGTGGGCAAAGAGCAATTACAAATTGGTCAGCTCATGATGAAACCCTGTGACCAATCAACCAAATCCCTACAAACAAATACTTGAATTAGCAGAAATCGACAGAGCCGTCTGGTTTTCTGAACTTTTCCGTTTACCTAAAAACACATGATCATCAAGATAGGAGACTTTTCAAGAAGACATATAAGCTAACGAGATCATAGAGTATAACTGGTGAATCGGTTATACTCACGGTTAAATCCCACTGTTCTTTCCATTGTTAGCTACACACTTCCCCCAACCGATCCCTTAACAAGTCTATTTGTATTATTTTGGGAATGAAACTCTTCAATTTTGTTTTCATCGAGCATAAACGTTTTTATTTGCGTTCACAGCATACTGATGCCTCAAAGAAATGTTTTGTTGGGTAGATAATTTCAAAAAACACTCTATCATTGCTTCGTAAAAACAATGGATCATCAAATTAGCATACTGTAAACACTTTTTCTCATTTCAGTAGTCTAAAACATTTTTGTAGAACTCATGGAAAATTCTCCAGTAAATTTTTTCATGAGTGTATGTTGATGTGTTGACAATGATTATAAAATATTGTATTAACTCTAACACAATGAAACAAATTATCAGTTATGCTTTGCAGGGAATTAATCGGATACCGGTTTGGTCACGAGATGATATCAATTAGAGAACCACTAAGAAACCAGAGAGTATTGAATAATTGTATCATACCCTTCCTTGGGACTCTTCAGCAATACCCAACAACTAGAGTTCGAACTCAGACAGTCTAGCCCATAGAAACAGATCTAATGACTGGTGCATGAATTCTAACTTCTGCCAATTCGCCATATATATGCCGCAAACACCAGTTAATGTTATGGGCAGGATCTCTTTCCTGACTTGGTAGACCCTGTGGTTCACCATTTCTAGCTACAGTCATTTCACTGCTAAATCTGTTATGGGTTATACTTTGTTGTCGATAGATCAGAGGATTAAATTGCAACATGTGGAGGACAATAAAACTGTGAATAATGCCTGGTGGTTCCCGAATAAAAACTTTGTTGTGAGTTTCTTCCCGACAAGAATATTCTTTGGTACCTTTAGTGTGCTGTGTTAAGACATAAAACCGTTGTATCAGGTCAAGCATTTAAATGGCGACATAAAAAGACTATGAATGGTTACGTCGTGCCCTTAATAATGCACTGATCATTCTTTGCGTTATAAGTGGAACAGAGAACTTCCGAGACACATCTCTATTGCCCTCGGTTGTCAGGTACTACTTCTAACTTACTTTGCAATCGCCCACAACCTTCAGCCTCCTGTAATCTTCTGATCATCTTCTTTATATCCCACCTGGAGGCCAAGCCTATCTTTTTTCATCTAATCCACTCTCGAAGACCAGTGGTGTGTTGCTTACAGTAGGTTTCCTCAGAGATTGTTCTACTGCATTTATGCCAGGTGGGTAGTTGGATGTTTACTGGTTCTCCGCATTTCAGAGATCTCCGTTACTTATTATCTTTTCTGA